AGTTAAGCTTTGCTTATTTGAATTAATCAGCATCAGCCAAGGTTAATTTGCAACTGATGATATCAAACTATTGTTTTTTTTAAATTTCAGAGTATCATTCCTGTCTTAGTGAGTGTGTTTGTGAATTTGTATTCTCCAGATGTCGAGGTTTAAACTCTCAAAGATGGAGTCATACGAGTGTTCACAGTTAAATCTGTTCTTTGGTTGTCATGGCAGCTTGTTCTTACCCAACACAGCTACCATGGAGACAGAGGGCATGATGGGAAGGAGGCAGACTGTTTGGAGTATTTACAGGAAGAGCTGGATGGTGCTTTTATTAACTGTTTAGCATTTGTGTCTGCTTGTTTCATGAAGGAATGACTGGGCGAATGGTCTTAAAGGGATAGTTCATCCAAAACTGAAAGTTTACCCACTATCTACTCACCACTATGTCAATGGAGGGGTGATGAGAGATAATGAGTTCATCCTTTTGGTTGAACTATCCCTTCAAGTTTATCTTTAGAACATGTTGACCACCTAACCACTTGTGTCTTTGTGTTGCAGAGAATTAGAGAGCTGGAGGACAGGATTGACTGGCAAAAGAGACAAATAAAGGACATAGAGGAAAAGGTATATAGTCAGATTTGATTTGTTTCTTCCTAATAAGCTTCCTGTCATTGCTGGTAGACTAAAAGTGTGAACTTTAACTGGACAAAGCAAAGTGTGAGGGAGTTTACATCTAATGTTCTGAGGTTGTGTGTTATGATGTAAACCATTGACACCTTTTTCTTCTCTCTCTTTTTCACCCTTTTGATTATTCCGTTAGTTTTTGTTCCTCTTTTTGTTTTTCTCTTTAGCATTTATTCTTTGGCCTTAATAAGAGTGACCATGGACCTATATCAGGTAGCAACTTTATTCCTTATATCTTATCAGTATTTAAAGATCCAGTGTGTAAGATTTAGGTCAAAGGGATCTATTGACATTAATCGTAGTGATGTTTTCACTAGTGTATTTAATCTAAATTGATATTTGTTTCTCCTTGACCCTAGAATGGGCCGTTTATAATTTAATACTTTATATGAACATCAGGAGTGGGTCCTCTCTATGGAGGTCGCCATGTTTTTCACAGTAGCCCAGACTGGACCTTTTGAGTTTTTATGACAACTGAAGGTTTCCACAGGTTCCCTTTTATGTTTGGAAGGGGAGTGTGAGGCGAGAGATATTCAGCTGCAACATGCAACTTCACCACTAGATGTCACTACATTCTACACACTGAACCTTTAAGGCTGTTGCGTTGCTGATAGTAACATCACTAATGAGGACAGAATTTCAAAATGTTGTTCTCTCCCTCAGGTGTTAAGGTGCTGTGGAGGCAACGAGGATGAAACAAAACCTAATTGTTTTTTATGCATTTGTAGACAGCTCAGAAAACCCTATGGCCTTTTTGTATATGTGCACTTTGGCAGAAGACTCTTACCTGGAATGCAAACATATTTGAACATTTTGTAAATAACCATATACAATGAGATTAAAGTGAGATTTATTTATAGATAATATCTACTGCAGTGGTTCTTGGACCTGGAACATAAAACCCAGACTCCTCTGTGAGAAGTGAACACATGGATTTACTGAGAGAAAACTCTGAATCAGAGGATTTATTCAAAGGAGAAGAGCCACAGTCGAAGGAAAGGCCACTTGAACAATGGAAGGGGGAAGATGGAAGAAGGAGAAGAAGAGTGAAAGTACAGGGTTGAGTGGGAGGGGGGGGGGGGGGGTGAACGAGCTGAGTGCCAACTGGATTTGGAGGATTCTGGCAAAGTTCAACGTCTGTGGAGTTTCTAAGGAAACAGCAGCGCAACTCAGTTCGCAGAGTCCAAGCAAAACCCACTGGAAACTGGTCGCTGCGCTCAGAGGATTGAATTGCGGAGTGAAGCACAAAAAACAGGTTAATATTAAAATCAACTTAAATTAACGCTGATTGAAGTCTTGTTAGTTTTACTCTTCAAAATCTGTATTATAATGATTTTCTAGTTACACTAATTTGAATTGTTTGTTACCTGTAGATTCTTGCCTGTGACAAGTTATGCATTAGCCAAACTAATAAGTAAAACTAATCACTAAGCGAGCAAACCTGCTTGATTACGAACTTAAGGAATGAGTACAACAAACATAAAATCCTTCAGTACACATACAGGCATGTGAGTGTTGTTTTAAGACAAAATGTAAATGTGAAATTGTCCTTTAATGTTTTGGGATGGGAGGATTTTTGAAATGTGGTAGGAGGTGCAGGAGCGAACAGGACAATTACATGTAGGAGGCGGGGTAACCTGAGAAATGCCGCTGCATGACACTTTGCTTACAAGCTGTTGACATTGTGAATAATAGATGACTGTATTTTGTGCGTATGTATCATATATGTTGTCTGTATTTAAATGTGTCTGTGTATCAATGATGTAATCAAGTGTAGAGATAATGTGAAGCACTTTTTCTTTTTCTTCCTCTGCTCAATAAGTGTGAGACGTCAGTTCTTGGGCCACAGGTAAAACTCCCCAAGAGGGCACAGGCTAACCAATGGAGGATCACATGGTCTCATCAGAGACTACGGGTACCGGAAGCACTTCTGTTACCATGGTTACTGACTCTGTGGAGACTGATCCCGACCTGAACAGGTTCACTGTAAAAGTGTGAAGGTCCCGGAGCAAAGAGCAGGTTCAACCATCCTGTCTGACAGGCACCTGAGGAACAGGTGAGAGACTGGAGGAGAGAGGGATCCAGTGACACACACACACACACACACACACACACACACACACACACTTGCTACTATATACTCACTTTTGGCCGAAGGGATATCAAGTATCACAGGCACCCGACTGAAGTGCACACTTGCATGCGAGCACACCGCTGCTAACATCTCTCTTCTTGCTGCAGGAGATTTTATTTGAATCTTTTGTGTAGGTTTACATCAAATTAGCCGAGTAAGTACCTAAACCTTCTGTCTTAATGTTAATATGTTGATGTAATGTGAGCTTGTCTGTGTTGTGATGTAAAGGTCGGAGAGTTAGAGAGGTTAGAGAAGAGTCTGCTGGTTCAGCTCTATCAGCTCGCCTCAGCCTCAGCATGCAACACTCCCAGAGGCTGGACCAAAGACTGCACATGCTCAGGGAGGAGGTCAGAGCCATGGTGAGTTTGCATGTTTTTTCACGCATACAAAAAATAACATAAGAAACAAGTCAGACAAAGGTCCCCATTGAGAACATTTACAGTAAATACATACTACACATTACTACAGTATAAATACATGTTCAAAGAGGACAACATGTTGTAAAGCAAGCTTGGAGTAGCAATTACTATAGGTTAAAGGTTACTGAAGTTACTGTGATATTTCCTTGTCTAATATTTTCTCCTTGTCTTTGTCTTCCTCTCTGTCCCTCTGTCCTCCTCAGACTCAGGAGAAGGAGCAAGGGGAGCGGGTATGGAGGGAGCGACTGCAGCGCTGTCAAAGGCAGCTGAAGGCCAAAGAGGAGGAGATGAGCCGCCAGTCTCAGTACTTTGAGAACTTTAAATCCCAACTCCAACACAAGCTGAGCCTGGCCCGGGACAGAGAGCAGAGCCTACAGAACAGCATCTACACTTTAGAGAAGCGGCTCCTTGACATGACAGTGAGTGCCGCCACCGGCATGGCCACGATCAGTGCGGTCAGAATCACTGCTGGGACCATTACACTCCGGGAAGAGCAAGAGAGGCTGACTTCGATGAGAGGAGAGGGTGAGGGAGAAGAGGAGAGAAAAGAGGAGAGGATGAAGAAATGGCAGCCAAGTGTGTCTCCTGAAAGAGAGGGAGGACGAGAGGGGGATGAGGGACAGACTGAGAAGGAAATAGAAGGAGGAGGAAACGACACAAAGCAGAGCTCAGATGAGTCGAGGCTGCAGGGTTTCATCTTGAGCCTGCAGGAGGATCTCAGGGTGTTGCTGGAGAGAGGGGAGGACGGGATGACAGAGCGGAGGGAGCTGATGGAGCAGCTCAGTGAGGCCCAGGAGAACGGCCACTTCCTGGGCAACAGAGTGGAGGAGATGAAAGCAGAGGTGCACCGGATGAAGCTGTCTGAAAGCTCACTGATGGAGGAGGTTGAGGAGCTGAGAGAGGACAACGACAGACTCCAGCTGATCCTCAGGGAAGCTGCAAACCAAACAGCCAGTCAGTCGTCGTCAGTCGTCGAGAACGCCTGCACAAGTCCAGGGACAAACTCAGAGGGGAGCTCGGCAGAGGTGTGTGAGACATGAATGTTATTAGTTTTGTTAGATCAGGGAGTATCTCATTGGCACTAGAGGCCTGGGCACAGACGATGAAATTACACACAGTGAAACACAGCCAGTCATACTCATGCAATATCTTTCTTGTATTTACATGGTGTGAGGTACTGTAAGACAGTGTTAGCACATCCAGTATTTACTTGTGGTGGATCTGGGGTCAAGTCAGTCCTGAGATCTCATTAAATGTGCTCTGATGAAATGAAGTTTTTACAGAGGCTGATACAGAGGCTGTGTATGAACAAACATTATAATGTATAGTTTGATTCTTGTTCCTGGTTGGGACCAGCCGTCTGTTATATACACAGTACTTAACAGTGGTGACAGTGATATTTATCTTCTCTAAAGTCATTTAAGGTGGAATGAAGCAGCAATAGAGTGAAGAATATGTCACAAGCATTATTCAATGGAAAGAGAAAAATACACTAGTGAATACATATGATTTTTCTTTTATTATCGTCAGATTTTATTTTTAAAATGTTTTCAATGTATGATATTGAACATTATGTGCAGTATCTGAATGTTAAAATATGTAAAATAGAATTATGGGTTTTTGGATAATGAGCATTTTTTTAGTGTCTACATAAACCAAGATGATTAATGATTATCAAAACACATGATTGAAGAATCAATATATAAATTCCTGCCTTCCCATTCAAAACTCTTTATAAAAGAATTTTACTTACTTGACAGATGGAATATGTTTGTTTTTATTCTTACTTGTTACTGCATGAGTTGGTATTACAGCAAACATATGGTGGATGTTCCCAAAGAGTGAAAGTCTGTTGAGTCTCTACTAATTTGCATGTTGCACAAGCATCTCTCCCCTTTCTAAACACTAGAGTATCTCAATAACATGCGTTTGGTTTTTTGCCCTATTTTTTTATATTATTCTCAACTTCTGTTCTGATGTTAAATTGTGATCTCTGTGCAGGTGCAGCCATCATTGACTGCAGTTCCACCTGATCACCACCAGGCTGCAGCAGAGATCACACAAAACAAACCAGACTGTGGCTCCAAACCCAACCTCAGCTTCCAGTCACTTTCCTTGACTTCAGAGACAATAGATGAGTTTAACCTGGAGACCTGGAGCCGCAGAGGGATCTTAGACCTGGAGCAAATCCCCAGTGAGGAATCTGATGCCCTGAGGGAGGCGTATAAGAGTTTGGGGTTAGGGGAAGATCTCGAGGACCTTCGAGAGCAACGTGACCGCCTGGATGCCACCCTGCAGCACACGCAGAAAGAACTGGAGATGGTGGCTCGGGAGAACACTCAACTAAAAATACAACTCAGGGAACAGGCAGAGGAACGACCTCGAGAGCAGGGGTCTTCAAGAGAAATGGTAGGGGTTGCAATATTCTTAAATGTTTGACAAAATTGAAGAAGCTTTGCTTTACATCCAGTATGTAACTAATCAAATTCTTCCTCTGTGACATGCAGATCGGCCACGTCCAGTCATCTCCTCCCCAGGACAACAACATTCCTGCCCTTGCCCAGGATGATCTTGCCCAGGCCCTTAATCAGGAGAACCGAGCCTTGGCAGAGAGGATCGAGGAGCTGATGGCTCACATCGAGCTCCGAGAGGTGGAGATCAAGATGAAGCAAAGTCAGCTGAGGGAGCGTGCCTCTAGGTTGGAGGAGGTCAGAGTTGGGCTGGAGCAGGAGAACCAGGAGCAAGGATGTTTGATCACAGAGCTCACCAGGAAGACTGAGGATGATCTCAACACGATCATGGAGCTTCAGCAAATGTTGGAAGAGAGTGGGAAGCAGAGCAACACAGAGGAACGTGTGGACAATATTGTGGAGAGAGTTAAACCCCAATCTACGTCTAGTACTCAAACAGATGATTTGATTTCAGTGTCAGCAACCGGATCTCAACATAACAGTCACCATGATCTCTTGCAGAACAGCCAACAAAACACTTTGCATGTTGATCAAATGTGTCACCTGACCAAGACAGTCCAGAGCCTCAAAACAGAACAAGAAGAACTGATCGGCAAATTAAACTCTCTCAGAGAGCAGCAGGGAGAAGTAGCTCAGTCAGTCCAGACAAAGACAGAGGAGAAACAGCAGTTGACTCGCACAGTTTGGGGACTTAAGGAGGAGAAAGACAGAATCTTTCAGTTTCTGGCTGGTCTCAGACAAGAGCGAGAGCAACTCACCAGGACGGTCTGTGGGCTGAAAGATAACAGAGATCACTTTATTAGGTCCATGATTGGCCTGAAAGAGGAGAAAGAGCAGCTAACAAAGACTTTATGCAGTCTTGAAAAAGAAAAAGAGGACCGTCATTCAAGTGGAAAAGAAGAGCAAGATCAAATCAAGCAATCCCTACAAAGTTTACAGACAGAGAGGGACCAGTTAAGGAGAGTGGTGCTCAATTTGAAACAGGAGAAAGAGGAAATAACCACTTCCCTTAAGTGTCTGTTAGAACAGAGACACCAGGAGCAATCATCTCACACTTTGGAGGACGACCGTGACAAGCTGATAAAGTCCCTGAGCAGTTTAAGAGATGAAAAAGAAAGAGTTGAACATTCAATTACTTGTTTGAGACATGAGGAAGAGCAAATAACGTTTGTGACTCAGAGCCTGAAAGAGGAAGGACAAAGCCTTCAGTCTGATTCCCACAGCCAAACACAAACACAAGAGAGGAATCAGAGGCAGCAGCTGGTGAATCCAAACACCACTGATCCAACAGAGAAGAGTGAGACTGTGGTCGGGACAGGAGATCAAGCTGCACAGAGATGTCGGACTAATAACAACAGAGGAAAATCTGTACAGGTATAGCTTTGTCTTCTTCCTTCTTCCTGACCACTAGAGGCAGTGTTCAACACTACATATCATCAGTCTCACATGCATATTTAAATCAACAAAGTCACATGTGACCTTGAATAACCTACTGGTGCCACATTATCATTCACTTGATCACATCACACAGAGTTGAAAGGCTCAAAACACTGTGAGTTGAAGGTTCTGTAGGAATGATGATGTTGTTTGTAGGTCTTTGTGGTCACATGTGCTTTTGATGCAAATATTTGACTCATGCACGTGTGGAAGATATTCACTGTTGAACAGGATTCATAGAACCATGGTTATCAGTAACCTTCGTCTTCCACATTTGTGTTTTATGACACTGTCTGTTGAGTCAGCCTGTTTATCCAATGAACATTTGGGCTCATCATGTATCATGATGTTTGATACTGTGAACTTACACAAAATGGTTTTGATTGACATCAGGAGCAAAAGGATCTGCTGAGGGAAAATGAAGATTTGGGATCAATACTAACGAGGTCCCAAGAGGAACTGGACAAGAGCCACACACAAGTGAGTTTAAACTATGAACCTTGTTTTTCTTCCATATTTGTTGGTTGGGACAATTAAATTTTAGTTGTATAGCACCAAATCACAGCATAGAGACCGTACCATATTAAAGACAGGTCTTTATCATGTTAACACAGATATTTGAATGTGACACATTTATAAATTTATATAAAACCATAGACATAATTAGTGTTTTCAGTCTTCAAGAGTGTGTTTCGTTCTCTCTCTGTTGTTTGCAGAAGAATGACACACCATAGCTTAACAAACTGAGTGTGTTCATGTTTATGTGTTGTGTGCATGTTCAGACAAAGAAGTTGCAAAGTGAACTGTGTCAGTCAGAGGCCCGGAGGGAGGAGGCAGAGAGGAGGGCAGCGGAGAAGGTGATGAGACTGACAGATGCAGCCAATCAGATGGAAGAAACCAGGAGGGAAAACAAGAGCCTCAGCGCCCAGGTATTTAACTCCATATATATACGTAGAAAATGATTTCATGTTTTCAACATTTTGTTCTGTTTGGTGGGCTTGTTTCCCTGCACACTTTAAAAACCTTAATCCTTAGATACCTTCCTTAGTTTGGACAATGGACAGTTATTGCAGAGTCAAATGAAGACATTGTTTGTCCTGAGCTGCAGTTTGGGTTTACCACAGGTGAAGGAGCTGCAGAGTAAACTGACAGACCTGCTGAGGGAGAGGACTGATGCTCTGTTACTCAAGACACAGATAGAAGAACAATACAACATCCTCACAGCCCAGCTCAAGGCCAAGGTAAGTTCATGGTTTTTTTCTTCTTGGTTTGTTAAATTTTATTCAAAAATATTTATTTTGAAAGTCTTTACATTGTACTTTAATAAACTTGATCTCAACTGATTGTGTGAATCAAGATCTGATTCAAATTATTATTGCATGTTCTCCCTGTGCCTGTGTGGCTTCTCTCCAGATTACTCCCACACTCCAAAGACAAACTTAGCTGTTAACTCTAAAATGGCCCGTAGGTGTCAATGTTTGTGTGAATGGTGAATGGATGAGCAGTAAAGATGATGGATGGATGGAAGAAAGGAACGACTACACACACAATGGAACAAATTATAGAACAAATGATGAAACGATTGATATATACATAAATATATGTTCCTGAGCCTCATTGTTCAGCAACATTAAGAATCTGCAGATCTGTTCCTCATTGTGTTTGTTTGTGTGTGTGTGTGTGTGTGTGTTTGTGTGTTTTTGTCTGTGTGTAAAATCCCTCAGACAGTGGCTCTTGACGAGCTGAACTCCGAGTACATCACTTTAAAAAGAGGACAGGGCAACAAGAATGATCTGGATGCCGCTCTCATGTCTGTTCGCACGCGCTACAACGACATCAGAGCTAAGGTGGAAACCATTCATTGTCTATTTTGCATTCCATAAATATAGTGACGTAATATGGGCCTAAATGTTTATTTAAACTATATAATTTAGAGAATTAATAGTTTTCACATGTTCTGTCTGATTTTGTTTGTAGTATGATGCACTCCTGAAGAAGAGGAGCCAGACAGATCTGGATATGGCTCCTTTAAAGGTGAGGAAAGAGGGATGAACGTTTCATTCTTAGATTGTTTTATGCTGCACATTCTTACTGAAGCCAGGTCAGGTAACAACTGTCATGTATCAATGCTGCTGTAGTTTTGTTTTTGAATAACAAGCATTTTGTCCACTAACAGGCCAAGCTGTCATGTCTGGTGGTGAAGTGTCAGGAGAGGAACAACTTCTTAGCTAAGATGATGAAAACCATGCACAGACACGGCTGTGCGGACTCCACACTCAAACAGCAGGTGGAGCTGCTTCTCAGCGACGCTGCTCTGCGGGACTACACTGCAGCATTCACACCGAGAAGCAGCGTAACCACTGGGGATTACAGTGCTGGGTTTATACCAAGATTTATTTCACCATTTGAAGACTGCACCACTGGATTCATACGTGATCAGAACTGTCTTGCTGTTCTCTCACTAACAAAAAATGGACTCACGCCTGAAGCTGGAGGAAAATGCAGAGACTTCAGAAGTGACGGACAAGTTTCTTTGTCCACCGAATCCTCAACAAATATTCAAGAGTGCAGGCGTGAAGTCGCACCTGCAGCAACAGGAACACCGAAGAGAAGTACCAGCTCACCTGTGCAGGAGAAACCCAGTGTCGAAGCTGCAACAGCACTTAAAGAGAGCTCGATCACAAATACTGCACAGGTGAGATACTGCAAAAAAGTATGCATTCAAATAGATAAACAGCTAAGATGTTTTTCTTTTCATTACTCTGGCTAAGAGGTTGTAAATTTGAACAGGAATGACAGAATCAATGCTGCGAAACAATTCCTATAGATACACAAGACAGGCTGCCTCTACAGGGTCTATATATTTTGTGCTACCCAGGAAAACAAGCGACATAGCTTTGCCCACAAAAACATTTCATTCGTGTATTATTTTATGTTTTCACTATGACGGAATGAGAAGGAAAAAACAATTCAGGAAAATCTTTATTATTTTCAGTCGTGCAAAAACCACTAACTAAAGTAGCATATGTCCCGTCTTTAGCTGGGTTTACAGGGACTGCAGTCCACACAGCTGTCTCTGTCCGCCAGTGGACCGATCCAAGCATCCGGTGGTCCAGAGACATTTGGATTTCATCAGTTGGATGTGAGAGGGAAGTCCTCCCCAGATCTGACCATTTCAACCAGGTCCTCCCTGAGTCCCACTCCTCCGCCCTCCTTCAGCACCCGCAGAAGGATGAGCAGCCCCGAGAAGATCATCAACCTCCATGAGCAACTGCAGAGGACTCTGATGAGCAGCTACCAGGTACATTTAAGAGTTCTTTTTAAACTTTCTTTCTTTCTTTTTTCTTTAAATGGCTGACACAATCTTGCCAGCCTAACATCTGTGTCCACTCAAAAGGGCAAAAAAGCAGTTAAGGTGTGAATGGGTAGTTGTGGGGATATTTGTGTGGATGTATTTGTGTTTTTGCATCAGAACAGTATGTTTGTGTGCAGCTACAGTATCTCTGCTGAGGAGTTTATGTGTTCACCCATTAAATTGTTTGATTGTGAGCATGAAACTGGGTGGAAGGATATAATGTGGGTGAGGAACGAGCCCATTACATCCAAATCAAAATTCAGATCAAGTGAATTTAAAAATGGTTTCATGAGGGGACTGTTGGGCCTTGGCAGTTCTAGTGTTGAATTTTCTCTCAATTGTGCTCAAAAATCATGCTAGACGTGAAGATATATTCATGAAATGTTGTGTCAGCTTGTCTAATGATTGACAGTTTTCTTCTTCGTCTCCAGGCTCCAGTGATCAGAGGACGAGGACAGGATCCCAGGAAAAGTCTCTCATTTTCAGCTCCTGCAGACCTGAATCTGACCTTTCAGACAAACAGGCAGCGGCTCAGCTTCAATAAACCACATAACAACTCTCTCCCAGTCACCGCTGCTGCAAACCAAACTCTGATTCCCAGAATAACAGTTAAACCTGCTGCTGCTGCTGCTGCTAAGTCAACAACGCTTTTTAATGCAGTCGCTTCTAGAGCTGCTCATGTTTCATTCAGCCCCAACATCTTTACTCACTATCACTTTAAAGCAAACACATCTGCAACTACAACATCTGCTCTTTCTGGCTCATCTAATGAAACTAAATCCACCTCACACAGTGGCAGTACGATGACAGTATCCCCAGAAATGACAGAGAAAGTCTCTACTGTCCCGAACATATTAGATACAAGTCACACGACTCCTTTAACTCTTGGGACCAATAGCTTTGACTCTAATGTCTCAATATGTCCTGACACTCTGAAAAGCACTGCCTCAGACATGACTGCTCCTGGAAAATCAACAACCCCTAAATGTAATATTTCTAATGGTGCTGCCCCTGCTGCACGTGACAGACCTGTCTTCACTGCATCCTGGACCCAGTCTGGTCCTCGCTCTCCAGAGACACCCAACAGGTCTGCCAGGAAGTCCACTGGTCCTGGAGATCAGACAAAATTGGCAAGACCCAGACCAGGTAATAACCATGAGTTCATATTCACTGTTAACACTTATCCCAGTCTTAAAAAATCAATAACCTGCATCAGGCTTTAAACTACATAAAATATCATGTACAAGGTCATGAATATTTTAGCTAGGTCTGAGTTGAGTTATGGATTTTTTTTCTGGCATCTTGCATAGTCTGTGTCTCAATATGTTGTAGTTCTTTCTCATAGAGACAGATAGTAACACGATTTAATAAAACTACCTTTGACCGCCCGAATCTAATCAGTTAACCAGTGAGTCCAAGTGAACATTTGATCCAAATTGAAGACATTCCCACAAGCTGATCTTAACATATCATCTTCAAGAAAAAGATAAACATACTTTGAGAGGCCACCATGACCTTGACCTTTGACCACCAAAATGTAATCCTTGAGTCCAAGTGAATATTTGTAACAAATTGGAATAAATTCCCCTCAAGGCATTCATGAGATATCGTGTTCACAAGAATGGGACAACCTGAAAACATTTTGCCTCCTGCTTCTATCTATCGCAGCGTGGAGGCATAAAAAACAAATATAAAAAACAAAAATTATATATATAGTAAAACCTGGTAATAAAGCATGATGATAAAGTATTTCCACAGTTAAACAGGTAAAAACAGCATTGGACATTAACATTGTCTGTTGAAGACAGTTTTCAAGTAAAAAGTATCTTTGATTGACAAAAACTTCTGGATACAAGTGCATCATGTTCTAATTTACCATCGTAGAATATTGGTTTTTGGTTGCATATTGCTGCAGCGTGATTACACCCAGTAAATTCACTCTTTATGTCTCTTGTATTGGAGAAAATGTTGAATCACACTCTGGCGCTTTGATGCTGTTTTTGTTTTTTATTGCCCTCCTAACACTCGGCTGTACATCAATATAAACTTTTATTGAATCAGATGAGTTCATTTGTAAGTTCTGCATGCACTGTGTCTTGTTATGTTGGTTTATTGTGTTAGAATATCAGGAATAACAGGTGCATCATAAAAGTAAAATGCCACATTAACAAAGAAAAGAAATAGAAGATGTAAAAGTGCTTATTTAGTCTGCGTCTCATCTCCTGCATGAACAAGCAAGTGTCTGACCTCTCTTTGTTCTTTGTCCCTGCAGACGCTCCAGCGGAGGTTCGCTCTGTTGAGGTCATCAAAACCGTGGGCCAGAGCAGCCTCATGATTGGCTGGGAGAGGCCGTCGCTGGACGAGCTGGGCTGCAGTAACGGCACGTTTGTGTATGGATACAGGGTAGGCAGAGGAGACGAGCAGCTGCATTCATACATCGACAGTGATTTTGGAAGATTTGCCTAAATATTTATTTTCCTTTAATGGCCTCTCAGGTGTTTATAGATGGGGACTTCCACAAATCCGTCATGAGCTCGGCGTGCACCAAGGTATCAGTGTCTGCCCTGATGCTAACTGTGCATCACTGCGTCCTGTTGTTACTGCGATAAACAAAACAGAGCAGTTAACGTGCTGCACATGTTGTTTCTGTGTCTGCAGTGTATCGCGGAGAACCTCGACCTGAGCCTCCCGATCAACATCAGCGTCCAAACCCTGGGATCTAACGGTCTGAGTTCAAACAGTGTCCACACCGTGTTCAGGACGGACCAACACTGACCAACTGCTACACCTCACACAGTGGTAATAATAATATAATGTTGGAATGATTTAATCAGAAACCTGGTACTGCATCAAATTTCTTTTTGTCAGTGTCTCTTTACAATCACAACACATCTCAGTGAGAATCTCCCTCACCAGGGGTCGAGGTGTGAACGGTGAGTTGTGTGCATCTTTGTGTCCATGTATTTGTGTTTTTGCATCAGAACATTATATTTCCCCACCTGTCCATTTGTTTCTTGAAGAACTTATTACATTTTTGTCAAATCAGGACCAGATTTTTTCCACTTTAACTTTGCAAAATATCTGTGTCAATAATTCATTGATCTTGATAAAAGAACAACAAAAAAACATGTTTAGAGGAATGCGAATCTGCATCTAGTGAATTTAAATGCGCTCTACTGAGTGACACTCTAGTTGTCACAAGAACTTTGTTTCCTCTCCTTCTTTCTCGTCTTTCCAACTTTTGACTAAAAATAAGATCCACTGTTTCAGAGGATGAGAATATATAGTTCAATCTATTTTTCTCTCTGTCCTGTGTGTCCTATGTGTGTGTCTGTGTGTGTCTCTCTGTGTGTGTGCACAGCCATCTATAGCTGCAGCCCTCTGAGGAGCTGTCCTAACCTCCACCTCAGCTGAGACACCGTCACACTCCTCAGATAACCTCTCCATGTGAGGCTCAGGTCGACCAATCAGAAAAACTCTCCCCACGTGCTCTTTACCCACGAGCTTGTGAGCGACCTGTGACCCACCAACGAACCTCAAAACGATGAACTGAAGATGTCAAACTAAAAACAGCATAAGCTTCCTGCCTCCGCACTGAAAGTTAACCCGCCTGTAAAAGCAGGTGAAGACTGGCAACTTCCTTTTCTCTTAGGGAAGAACTTCCTGTTTCAGAGACCCACCCCCTGGATTCACCTCATGAACGGAGCGGGGGTTGCAGCGGCCAGATGAAAAGGCCAGAGCTGCTGCCAATCAAAGCAAATGCTTTTTAAAACCAAGCTCAATCTCATTGTTAAAAATCTGACTGTGACATTCGCTACCACTGGAGGAACATCTGCTTCTGCTGCTCGTTTTTTACACTGTGTTAGACTGCGACTGATCACGTGTCAGATGCTGTAGCTTCACCCCCACTGCTGCCTCTCGGGGCTGTAACAGCTGAACGGACGTCGACTGTCTTTTTTTAAAGCAACACCTACTGTATAATGTGCTGACACAACATTCTACCACTTTGTTCGTCTTTTCACTTGATTTTTACACACAAAGCCAAATATGACAAAAGATGATTCACTCCAAAGACTCATCTGTCTCCGTCTCCTCACAGATCTGCAGGATTTCTTTAAAACACAGAAACAGATGTTATGTTACTTCTAAAATTTGCACATAATCATTAATTTTAAAAAAACAGATAACCACTGATATTTTTTGTAGAGAGTATAATAAGAAAATATGCCAATGGTGTATATGAAATGATACCACCTATGTGTTTTTGTATGGGGGACACTGTTTTTCATACCTAATCGATGTCACGTTTGCACGCTTATATTGATTTTTTGTTTTATACAAACGCACACACGTGATGTTCTTTTGCTACTTCCTGTATGTGGAGTGACCATGGTGCAGCAAATGTATTTTTCTATCAGTGATTGATTGATAATATTGATTTCCTCTTGAATCCTTACAACTGTACAGAGAATAAATGTTTATATGATATTAAATGGTAAAAGGTCTGTATTCACATCGCACTTTAGTATAGATGATCACTCTATAACATCTTTGTGCAGCACTTTCTCCATCACACATCACTCACACACTGCTGGAGCAGCGGTCAGGAGCAAGTTTGGGTTCAGTATTTTATCCAAATTCACTTCGGCACGAGGAATAGGGGAGACTGGGATTTAACAGTCGACTTTCTGGTTGGTGGACAACCCGCTCTTCCTCCTGTGCCACAGCCTGTTATTACAATGTCTGTGCATGCATGTGTGTAATAGAACAGTTCTGGCTTCGATACATTTTCATTAAAATTGATTCATAGTTGAGATTTGGCAAAACATGTATTTCCAAGACAAAGCATCGGGTTTTCTTTCTATGGGCTGACAACGTTAATGAATCCATCCAGAGATCAATTCAATTATTGGAAACAGATGCATCAACACAATTAGAAAACAGGGATTTTTTTTAATTTGCAGGGCTGTTTTGGAGATTTGTCTCTCTCCTACCAGTCAAAGACGGTTCATTAGAGACTGTACACACTGTGGGTGTGAATGTGAGAGTGAATGGTTTTGTCTGTTGTCTTCCCTGTAATAGACTGGTGACCTGTTCAGGTTGTACCCCACGTCTCGTCCACTGTCAGTTGGGATTGTCTCCAGCTCTCCACAACACTCAAAGAATAAATGGTACGATGATGGAATGGATCGATGGACTTCAACACTTTCCATAAATGAACACTAGATGGCAGCCACATTTGGAGCTAAAAACAGTCCGTTGACTTTGTGTGTGTGTCTGTGTGTGTCTGTGTGTGGGCCTGTTTGTGCGTGTATGCGGCTCAGTCCCTGACAGGTGCTTTCAGCAGAGATTTAGTAGAATGGATGATGCTGGTGTTCACACAAAGACGTGCTCAAGTAGCCTAAAACATCTTAGTGTCTGCTTCCCCCATTCAATACCAACCAGGCACAAAACCAAAACAGAAGTGAGAGAGGAGGAAGGAGCATCAGCAAAAAGCAGCTTAATCATCACCTGCTGTGCTCGGCAGCTTTGGGAGCTTCTCTGAGAACGTCAGCACTCAGCAGAAAGAGAACCAGGTGGAGGAGAGGGAGTTTGTGTGTGAGTGTGTGTGTGTGT